AACTTTGTTCGACTCTGTGCTTTCAAACGTTGAAATTTTAATGAAAATCACAAATAATAGGGTATTTGACATGTAGCAATGGTTGCACATCACCACTGACCCGGTATCTTATGTATGAGTTACATCCGTGTTGTTTTAGCTGAGATTATCCTCTACCTAGCTCGACTTTATTAAGCTATATTAAGAAAATACGTACAATGTGTTTGCCTTTTTCTTTATATTCTTCCTGTCGTTTATTCACTTTTGCCTATTCCTTTACTTCCCATCTTCAATCGCTCTTATTAGCGGACTCTTTTCTGTCTATTGTGCCTGATCTCTGATAATTGTTTTCCTGAAAGATTTTCGTTTCATTAATGAAGTACAGAATTCTCCTCATGGGTATTGAGTAGAATTTCCTCTCCCATTGGATTGTTTTTGCGAGTAGTCTTTTTGTTTGCCTCATGCCGGACTTTTTTTTCACTATTTGTTGAGTAGCCCAAGATTTCAGTTCTTTAATGTGACTACAGTTCATGCCTGTTTTTGGACCTATTTTTAGCTTAGAATGTCTGCTGCCTCGTTACCTAAAACCCTGATGACTGATCAACCTTACCTTTAGAACATTTATAAATCCTAATTTGTTTAGGGTAATCAGGCAGTTCCAGACTACTTTTGATGAAGGCTTGGAGAGATTATTCTGTTATCGACTAGCTTTGGGATTGTCGATTACGGACCTATGTATGCCTTTCTACAACGACATAGGTCAAGAATTTGCGCCCTGAATAAGGCCAAATATAGGGCTAACAACTTGGTTGATTAATTGAAAGACCCCATAACGATAACATGATAATCCCCTATCAGCAAGGTCAGCACTGGACATCCCTTTCTACACCGCCATAGGGCTAGATTTGAAAATCAAATTTATTGTCCTTATTATATAAATTTTAATCGATAAGGTAAAATTTAATTCCCTATTTTTCGTGGTCCGATTGGCCAATTAATAACATTCAATTAAGGTTTTAAGTTGAGATAAAAAAAGTCAGTGTAACGAGCGGGATTCGAACCCACGACCTACGGCTTGATACGCCGCTACTCTACCAGTTGAGCCATCGTGAATTCGATCCCCTCGAGCACTAACTTCCCATCTCAACCGCACCTTTTGAATTTTCCCCCCTTTTTGCCATTTTTCATGGCAAAATTTAATATGTTCACACAAATCCAACTGCAGTGTGAGGTTGGCTTTTATATCTGAAAGACCACATTAATTAAATAAGCCTATCAACTATTCGAGTTAACGTGTTCACCTCTTGTTAATTAAAAGTTAATATAGCACTAGTTAATATGATGAGTTAAAACGTTACAATTTAATTTCATGGTTAAGAAGAGAGCAAGCATTTTCTGTAAAACGCTGCATGTAGAGCTTGCATCTAGCCACATATTGAATTAAACATTATATCATATATCACATCCTGTAATGGCTGAAGGGTAGAAATGTTGGTTTTTTGTCTGTAATGAAAAAAATTCACTCGCGTTCAACAAATAAACGTCAGTTCCCCTGGTTCAGTGTACTAACGTTTGATTAAATTATAATATTTCTCCTGGTAAATGATTACTACGCTTTAATGTATTTTTCATGCAGAGGATCTAAAAATATTCAAATGTCTATAAGCACTCTTCAGTCGTCACTTAAACTATCTGAAGAGTGTAATAGTAACAGCATGTACCTTAACTTGAATAAGTGTTTTGTCATGACCTGAGGCGAAACTGTTCTCGATCTTCTGTTTCACTTCACGGATAAGGTAGGAACCTGTTCTGTCTTCACGTCTAACACGAGCATCGTTAGATGCTTAGCATCTTAGCATCGTTGTCGTGACCTTCATTTCTGCAACCATTAGGTCTATACTGAATCACACGTTTAACTAGTCGGGTTCAAGTTTCAGATGTCAGCACTGTAGCCATCACTTTTTATATGCTGGTTTTCATTTCGAACTTTTTTCCTGGTTGAACTTCCTGGCAACTTGGTGAATGTTGCCACACATTCTTTGGAACCGTATTTGTGGCCACGACATTGTTCCGCTCAGGTCGCGGCCAAGGAAGGTACAGTGCGACACCGTCTCTATTATTTTAGTGACCGGGGTTTTGGTGACCCTGAGAAGGACCTGCGTTATGGATGAGCCGTTGGTTGAAGTCCTTGGACTGATGTCGATGAGCGGATGTGGTTGAATTGGATATGTGATTATACCCCATATTTTACTACAAAATCTTTGGCCTCGCTTTTTGGATTGTTTTCTATACTTACTTCCTGATGAACACTCGATCTAATGTTAGCCGGAAAAAGTTGTTTTAATTTTTGAAGGGTGCTTTTAGATTAAGCTCCCCCTTCTCTTTGTGAACGGTTGGAGGTTAGGGTAGGTTAGTGTTAGGGTTGGAGGTGGATTAATTTAGGTTAGGAATGGTTAGATTAGGTAGGGTTAGGGAGCAGTTAGTTTAGGCTAAGTAGAATGAGGGACAGGTTAGGTTTGGTTAAGTAGGGTTAGATATAGATGGTTAATCATCATGCATTTTATACTGTGCCCTTTAGGAACTATTATATCCCCCATTCTGTTCTTAAAGCACACCGATGAGTCCTAGTTCATCAAAGAATTTGATTCGCAGGAATGTCTTCTACGGTAACATTGTACATCCGAAAGCACCTCCTCCTGCGGGCAAATGTATGCCACAGTGTGTTAATAGGTGTGTTGATGTCTCCTCTACTTCTTTGCAGAATCTGCACGTACCCTGTTGTGTTATGCCAATCTTTTTTTTAAATATCCATTTAGTTTGCAGTGTACTGTTAAGAATCCTGTTTCCCTTGATACATCCTGTTACCTCTTTCCTTCCAAAATTTGTTAGGAGATTCTTGGATTGTTTTTGTCCAATGAGTGAGTTCCATTGTTCCTTCATTTTCTTTTTATCGTTCTGTCTGAGGTACTCATTGATAATGTGGCCATAACCTATGGTACAAAAAGGTTGGGGTCATATCAGCGGTAAAGCAGCCCCTTTTCTTGCAAGGGTGTCCACTTTATCGTTGCCTTCTACTCCCACATGTCCTGGGAGCCAGCAGAGGCTGACTTTTGGACATTACCATTTGTAGCTATGCCCTACACAACGTAATAAGGAATTGGAAGGTTTCTGGTGAAGAATCAATGTCAGATCATAGAATAATAAAGTTTGACATTGAATCAGATATAATAGACCCTACTACCATATAGGAACTCTCGAAACACTGACTGGGCAAGGTTTACTGAGATGGTACAACACAGTTTAGAACATGCAACAGTGAAGAGAACACCAAAAACATGCATTGAATTAGACTTTCAGTCACAGAACTCACTCATAGATATATGCACAGAGAAAAAGATCCTCTGGGTGATCAACTCTTTCAGCCATATAAACCGCCAGGAACGCCATTTTTCCCATTCTGCTACAAAAAGGAGTCCAGCATTCCAACCCTGGTGCATATATATATAGAAGTAGCCTAGCATTAGGCTATATACCACAGACAGGGCAAAAGTGGTGTTCATACCAAAAATAGGGAAAAAATCCTACAGACCAATCAGCCTAACATCCTTTCTACTAAAAGCACACAAAAACTGACACAACCATATAAGAAAGACAGTGCTAATAGACAAACCACACCATCACTGTCAACATGAATGCAGAGCAGGAAGATCAACAGAAACTGCTCTTTACCAGTTAACTAGTAAACTGAAGAAAACAATAGAAGTAAAGGAAATAGCAATCTGCATGTTCCTCGATTTTGAAGGATAATTCATTGCAATGCTCTTGGATATACAATGTTTTTGGTGATTCCATTTGGCATATGTACAAATAACAAATCCCTTGGCTTCCTGGGGTATGCAATATATAATTGTCCATGAGAAAACCATGGATTCTCTAGATTCACTCCACATAATAGCAATCCTTGTGATTTGTTTATCATTGCTGCAAAAGCCAGTTTGGCGAGTGCTTAGTAATGCATCACTTGAGCTTTTGGTATGTACTTTCTTTAAAGAAGGTTACAGCTTAATTTTTTTGAGTGGATGGTTTCAGGTTTAGCTTCCTACTTCTTCAACTATGGATCACTTGTAACCCTTACATCCAAAAAACTAACTCCTCAAAACTTTTGTCAACACTACCTATTACGTTTCCAACATCCTTCACTTCCTTCCCTTCATTTAAAACATAATTCACAAAAACATATCCTCACATCCTAAACCATTAGCCTAATCCATGTCGAGTACACCCGATGGAAGCGGAGATGGCCCCGGTACCTAATAAATAATATTTAACAATTGAAAAAAAACTGAGAAAGACAACAGCTGCTGCCTCCCCTTCATGATAATATCAAATGAGAAAAATATTGTAGCTCCTTACACAATGTACTTAGTTCATACAGATAGTATTTTTTTTAGTATTGTAATAACAATAGATATCTTACAATATATACAATGTGATAATTTCTTACCATGTTAATAGTTTATGTAATGTTTTTGGGCTAGTTACATAATTTCCTTTTTACGTTACCATTTTCAGAACATCAATTTTCCATTACCAGGAAGTGTACATGGGTTGGGTTGGGTTTGGTTAGGTTAGGTTAGATTAGATCATTGTTAGGGTTAGGATCGGGTTTAGTCTAAGTAGGGTTAGGGTTTTTTAAATTCCTTTTTCACCTCTCATAAGAACAATGTTCTAATGCATAGTTTAAGGTTTTTCCTTTGAATAGTTCAATAAAGGTGAGATTTTTGGGTAAATTTAAAATAAATATGCAATAATTGTTTTTATAATTATACTATTAACAATGTTCAATAAGTATGTCGTAACACTTAAATTGTCAAAAAAAATGCAACACGATTGCATTTCCTCTTGTTGTTTTTTTTAATTCATATTACATTAACTTAATAATTTAAATAATTTATATATTATTTTTTAAATCAAACGAAATTTGTTAAATAAAACTAAAACTTTTACACACATTTCATATTTGTATATATCATTTTTTATATATTTGTTTTAATTTATATCTAATGATGACAAAAGTTGAGTAAAAATAACTTAATTCACACTAACAGAATATACAATTGAAACTAAAATTTATTTACTTAACTTTCCTATCATACTAAATACAGACACTCCTTCTATATTGAAGTCTTTGAATCCTTTTATCGTCTCTTTCGCTTGATACCAAGTTGGCGAATTTTCAACTACTTGTGCTTCGTTAACAACTTCCTCTTTGACAACACTCGTTTCACAGGTGTAACACTCAAAAGGTGTAGGTGTATTAAATGAAAAAACAATGGAAGTAATTCTCCCGGAAATATTAAAATTATGCTTCGGCACAAACCAGTCACTCGAAGGCTTTCCTTCCATGCGGAGAAAAATAAAAGTGTTAGTTGGACCAATCGATTTTGAAAACATTTTATCATAATCCTTTAATAAGTGTCTGAAACAAAATAATAAATATTAATATTAACCACATCATCATCAATTAAATTAATGCAGATGATTTAAATAAAATATTACCTATATAAACTGCACAGGGATTTCCTCGTTGAAATATCACAATGTTTCGCTTGTTGGCTAAGAGGAGGAATTTGTATTCTAAATATAAGTTTAGGACAAAGTAATGTTGTACCTAATACAAGTATAATTTCTTTGAGTCCGTGATTTTCGTGATTTTTTAATAGCTCCTCCTCGATTGACTGAAAAACAGAAGGCGGGCATTAAATTTAAACAGTTTCTTAAGTCAATTATTTTTATATCCTTAAACTTACTTTAAAGGTACTTTCAAAATTATTAAATTGATTCTTTATCTCGTTATATAGTCTATTAGCTTTCATAATTTTCATTGATTGTTGAGCTGTTTCCAAATAATCCTATTAAAAAAAAAAATAATAATTAAAATAGAAAAGATTAATGTTTATCACATAAAATATTAAATAAAATTATTGTCAGACCTATACAAGTTGCATATGGTGGCCAAAAATAAAGCAGAGGAACTACAAATAGCATGCCTTAGGATCACAGGTGCTCTTAAAACAACACCCAAAGCAACAATGGTACATGTACACCCTGTTAAAAGGATGGATTTTGTTGATAATACATTGGACAGTGGAAAGAAAGCAGCAAAGAAATGCTGGCCATACCAAACTTTTCGACCAGCATCTTCAGTGAGGAAACCTTGGATCTACAAATAGAGCCTAACACTAATATGAATCCCAGGCCATGATGGAATTTCAGGCAACAAGGCAGCTGACTAGCTTTAAGACTGCACCTTAGCCTCAAAATGCCAAGCCTTTTTGACATTAATAGTATAGGACCTCCGCTAACAGATAAGCTTCGACCCCACACCTGAACAATCGAAATTGATGTGAGCGCCTGCTGGGACGGAAGCCAGGATCACCCCAAGATAAGATTTGATTGATAAAGAAGTTTTGAGAGTTGTGGGTAGATCCTAGGGATAAGAACCACTATGACCACTATGGAAACCTTTCCCATCATGAAAGTCAACAGGCTTGAAGCAGGGAAAGTGTTGCTGTGACTTTCACTCTGCTTTAAAGATGGCTGGTTCCCCAGTATCTCATTGGAAACTCCAGGTACTCTTAACCATCAATACTGACATTTCGCAGATGGCAGCATGCGAGTCCTTTAGGGGAGAATAGAGAAGCAAGTTCCAGGCCCGTAACTTGCTATTGGGTATGGATTCATAGTGGTCCGTGGTTAGACTCCCGAAGAGTAATCTAGAGAGTTTACTCTCTAGGTGGTGGTTAGTATTCCAATTAATTAAAAAACAAGAGCCAACGCACCTGTTGGAAGTACCTATGGTAGCGGGTGCACCTCCACTTAGGGTTTTGATAGAGCTGCCATTTCTATCAAATGGGAGCAGATTCTGCTGCGACACTGGTCGGGTGGTATGCCAACCCAGCCCTGCAGAAGGGCCAAGCGGGGAAGAGCCTATTTAAAGGCTCTACTCTGATGATGATGATGGTGTTGATGAATGGAGGATACTTGGAAGTGGGGTTTGTCTCCCCAGGCACGGAAGCCTTCTAGCTTACTGTACCTTCCTAGTTCCCTAGTTCAGTGCAATTGACTCAATCCTTCTTCTCAGGAGTATTAGGTCATTGATTATCATTGCTACAATTTCATTCCTAGGTTGTTTTTCCCCCTTTTTGTAATATTTTTATTTATTTATTTTATTTTTTCTTCGTTTATTTTTGTATGCTAGGTTAGGTCTCCATTGTTGCTTCGCATCCTAAGATGATATGGGTGGGGCTGTTTCTTCCTCCTCATTACATGATCTGCAAATGAGATCATCGTTATGCCCATGTTATGTAGATTCTTTCTCAAATGCCCTACCAGGTTAATAGTCCTATCACTCCACTGAGTCTGACCTCCAACTGCAGCAGTGACTTTGTTAGTCTTGGTGAGGGTTGTTTTAGCATAAATTTACTGTGTATCGCCCTTACAGTTTATCCACTTCTCCTTTTGTTTTGTTTGGAACCTGTGATGGAGGATTCTGTATGTGTTTTTGTTATCCCCAGTTCAAGGCCTATGTATGGTCTTGCAGATCCTCCTCTGGCCAGACTGTCTGCTTTCTCATTATCCAAAATTCCCCTGTGTCCTGGCACCCAAGATATCACTATGTTGTTGTTTCCCCAGGTTTTGGAGATTTTGGATGCATTCACTGACTAATTAAGATGTGATTTTTTACACACTAATGCTTTAATAGATGCTTGACTATCTGAAATTATGAGGTTTTTTTTGTCAGTGTAACATCTTTTTAAGGTTTTCTAAGGCACAAGCATTGATGGGATGTATTTCTGCTTGAAAGACCAAAGTGCACTTCCCTAATGAGTTTTACAGCTCATATTTTGGACCCGTACAAAAAACACCCAATCCGGTTCCTTTGTTTGTTTTGGAGCCATCTGTATACCAAATCATTATTTGATGCTCTCCTGAGTTCTTCCTCTCCTTTATAGTCTGTTGAGACTTTATAGGATGTGTAAAGAATGTTTCCTGACTCATGTAGTCAGTCCCCATTTCTAAAAATGGGTGTCTGATTTAATTAATTATGGTTGTGGGCCCAAATTGTTTAGTTCCCATTCAATTTTATTGTTTTTGGAGCCTAAATGTTTTTCTTAGCTTCTCTTTGTATGATTGTTTCCAGTGAAGATAGGTTTAGCAGAGTTTATAGTGTGTTTGTAGGTGTTGTTCTCATTACCCCTGTGATACATGTTTACTAATCTTTGTATCCTGCCTTGTGTTTAAGTAGCTAGTTTTTGTTGAGCTTTGGTCCACCAAATCAGTAATCCAAAGGTTATTTTGGGTCTTATTACTGCCATGTGTAACCAATGGGCCATTTTCGGTTTTAGCCCCCAAGATTTGCCTAAGGTTCTTCTTGTGGTTATCAGCAATATTTTACCTTTTGTTATGGTATGCTGCAGGTGAGGGTTCCAAGTCATCTGCATAGCCTTGGGTATAGATTTGGCTTTCATTTAGTTTCCATATGAGGTCATCCACTCCACATTCCACAGCAGAGGCAAGAGTATTCCTCCTTGTGGACATCTTCTCACCACCTACCACTGCTTCTACTTTTTCATGGAATATGGAAGCCTGCACTTTTCTGCTTTTTACCAGTGATTCTATCCATCTGCAGCAAGTTTTATCAGTTTCTCGCTGTTTGAGCGATGTAACTATTACTTCGAAAGGAGTATTATCAAATGCTCCTTCAATATCCAAGAAGGTTCCTTATGCTATTTCTTGGTTGTTCAGTGAATCTTCTATTTTTATCTTTATTTGGTGTAGTGCTGATTCACAGGATTTTCCTTTCTGGTAGGCATGTTGATATTTATGAAGGGATTTTTATTTTAAACAGCTGCCCCTTACATGCTTTTCAACTAGCCTTTCGAGTGTTTTGAGTAGAAAGGATTTTAGACAAGGCTCTACGTGAAAACCTACGGTATTGCAAAACACACCATAGGAACTGAGTCGTCTCCCTTCTTGCAAAACGATCCCATGCTTGCAAGGGGAAACGATATGGCCTTCGGGCAAGGCACAGTCTCAAAAGATCCTTCCAGGGCATCGAGTAAGACAGAACATGTCTATACCGACAAACACAACCCGCTTTTTATTAGTTATACCATTAACCAGCATTCAACCCAACAATCATCATTCCCTCCTAAAATGCATTATTCACAACCTTAACAAGATGTTCCAAATTATATCCGTTCCCTCTTAAAGGCCAAACATCAAACCAGAAGTCATTGGCAATGATCCCCCTATCCTTCCAATAGGGCAATTTTCATCCAGTTAACTACTCTCCTACGATCCTTTCCACCTACCACTCTTTGAAGTACAGCAGATTCCTTGAACCCCTTTCCACACATGATAACTCTTTCTGATTTGCTAACAAAAGGGTATTAAAATACCACACAGTCGATTCCCCCATCAAAATACCTAATGGGTCCTGGGTCAGGAGCAATGGAGACAAGGCCAATGTTTTCGCACTCCGTCTTGAACACACCTTTACTCCTCATGCTGATATGAACAGCAAGTAAGACAGAAACCTTGATATCCCAATTCCTCCTTATCCTCCTATTAAACCTTTCCATCAGAAGTAAAGTTCTTCTAATATATTCACAATTCTCCAAGTAAAAATTCCCCCAGACACAATCTTATAACTTCCATAATACTTTGAAACTGCACACAGAAGGCCACAGTCTTTTTGACTATCATTTACAATTCAATCATACGAACATTCCTTTTAAAGTGCCTAATACCCAGCCTAGATTTACATAATGTCATTCTTTCAGATCAATTTGGTTTCCATCCTAGTCATTCCACAAATCAGCAAGGGTTCAGGGTTGTTGATACTAAATCCTCTCCTTTAGAGAAAAGAAATACAGAATACTTCTTGGGCGCATACTTAGCCTCTGCACAAAATTGGCAACATTACCTAAACAATCAATGGTGAGGTTCTATCGCAAAGAAATACAGGCATTAAAAGAAATATCCATGCGCTGTTCACCTGTGCAATGTTTGGAAAAGGAATGAAGTGAAATTCTCAGTGACGACCGGGGGCATTTGGCCTCCTTAAAAGAATGAGTTTGGTGTCAAATGATGAAGAGCTCAGGTTTGAGAACTTTTTTTCATCAACACACTTTGACAAACTGTAATTACAAATCTTACCCTTCTAATTAATTATTTTTTATTGATTTATACACCCTTAGTTTGCATTAATAAAATGTAAAGATGTTAAAGTTTTGTTAAAAATATGAACAAGAAATTGCATATTTCAATTTATTTATGAAACTTAAAGTGTGGAAACATTCATTTACAATTAAGTAGTTTTTTATTTGTACTATTTTGCATACAAAATGCATGTAATATTTGTAAGGAGCATGCTTAATAAACAAATATAAAGGAAAAAATGTTTTAAACCATCATTTATTGCTAATGTACTCGCTTAAGTATTAAATTGAAGACAGGGTTTGGCCCAGGCTTTCTGTGGAGGCTGAAGGGTATCCTACCCAGTACCTACTACTTTATCCTAAAATTATACCTGTCTGACAGTTACTTCAGAGTTAGTCAGGATACAGCGATATCCTCTATCTACCCTATCCATGCTGGCATCCCACAAGGGAGCATCCTTGAACCTCTACTTTATAAGATATTTACTGCTGACATTCCTATCTTTCCAAAAACAATCTTTATAAAAAGATAGTTCCTACTCACAGGTAGGAGTCCTAACTTGACCTAACCTAAGATTGAACAACATACTCACTCCAACATTTTTCACTTCTATTCCAAAAACAATTCTCCCCACTTTTGATGACGATACAGCAATCCTTTCCCTGCATAAAGATCTAATCATTGCATACAGAAACCTTCAAAACCATTTTCAATGTGTCGACGTTTGGTCCAAAAAGTGGAGAATTCAAATAAATGCAATGAAGAGCCAATACGTTAACTTCACACTCAGACTTATAACACAACCACCTGATTACATTATGGGATTTCACTACCCCCCCCCCATCAAACACGTTACTTAGGACTCCACCTAGACAAACTTACTTGGAATCCGCACACAAGACTAAAACAAAATGAACTTAACATATGTTACAAACCGTTATTACCATTGCTCAACATATAATTAAAACTTCCACTTAAATATAAAAGAATATATGCGGACTTACGGTATTGAACTCTGGGGTCAGCCAAGCATTTCCAATGCCTCCAAAAATTCCAATCAAAAGCCAAAGAAAAATTGTTAACCCTTCTTATTGTGTACCAAACCTCACCCTACACAGAGACCCTAATATTCCCTTTGTTCCAGAAGAAGCGAAAACCTATTATTATATTCCATCAATCCATTTCCACACATACCAATGCTTTGATCATGGCCACCAGTCTTACGTAGTGACAAAGAAAACTGAAAAGTGGTAATTATTTATTTCTTTTGGTGATTTCTCCTCACATATTTTTTATGTCGATATTGTTCTTACAGCATTTTACCAATGTAATTGTTTTAATAAAAAGAAAAACCTTTCAAGCAGCGTAGCCTGACTGGATAAGTTCGTGTTCATATAAATAATCATAATTAATTCAATCATGAGGTATGACTAAATCATATAATGATTAATTTACTCATGATTAATTCAATCATGATTAAACTTCAATCATAATTCTTAATCATGATTGAATTAGTTTGATTTTGCCCAACACTGGCTACAATGACCAACTTATCAAAATCCAACCGACTCCGGATAAAAATTTTGAGATGAGAGTCGTGCTCAAGGTCAACCTTCAAAAATTCTTATCATAAGCGAAAACCAAAGTTACATAATTACTGTACATGTCTATTTTATTACAATCAAGACCCCTAGATGGTGTATTTTCCAAATAATGTGGAAATCTCTCCTTTTAAGTGGAATAAATTTTAATTCAAAGAAATATTTTTTCCATTGATCGGTTACGTAAACATATTTACTTTCCAAGGCGTAGCTTGTTCTAGGATTTGTTTATTTTATTTTATTATTGTTATTATCATTATCATTATTTTTTGGCTTTTCATAACGACGGATTTTACTTATAATTGGAAGATTGATTTTTGTTAAATAAGGTGTTGAAGGATTTTCGTTTTGATGAAATAAATTTCTGTTAGAAAATTTTTTAAAAGTGATGAAGTGTATTTTTCATTTTTTGAGCACCCATTTGGACATGATTAATCGAAATTTAGTCTGACTAACTATATTGTGACTAAATTAGTCATGCCTCGTATTTAATTACTAGTCATGACTAATTTGGCCATCAATCACATATGGCGATTAATGACTAAATTAGTCACTTACTACCAATCATGACTAACGGTCTGAGTGATCAATCATTAATCATTAGACATGACTAATTTTTGCCCAACACTGGTGTTAATGTCGGGTGTTGGCCTGCGAGTTAGTGAACTCATGAACGTAGACGAACACCCAGCATCAACTCTATTTTACATTAGTTGTAACTTCAATAAAAGCTAATGTTTAATAATGGGAAATGTTTAATCACTAAGATTGTACACTTGTGAGACAACCACCTGTTACTAGCATTCAAACTCTAATACAAAAACAAATTATTTCTTTCTAAAATTGTTTAAAACTTACACTAGATGTCTTCATGCAGTTGATTTGTTTGGCGATCCCATCATAAGTATAAGGGATTTGTTGAGTGTTGTAAGCGATGTATTTAATTAACTGTTTGACAACGAGGGAACACGATTTGGGTGTTAAAAACTCGTTCAGATCCACTTTTAAAAGGACGTCCATCGTCAGGTACTTGGGATGTAATATCGGTCAGTTTTTGTCCAAAATCGGACTTGTTATTATTTGATTACCGTCGTACTTCGTCGAAATCAATAAAACATTTAACAGAGACAAAAATATAAAAAAATTGGGCGGGAATCCGCCTTGGACTCGGGAGTCAAAAAGGGAAGGTTGCGACTTGGAGGGGTCTTTACTGTAACAACGTCCACATGACATCACTGATGGAAACATCCAATATTATATTATAAAATAATTTGTCATTTCTTAGCTAAAGTACCAAATAATCCAATAATAATAAACATGTTTATTGACAAAATTATTTATAATGATTATTTGAAGATCGTGAGATGCGGTCTGGTGTGACGTAGGTTTTAGAGAAACATTTTCTTTATCGTGCCAACGTTTCGACCTTTATTGAGATCATCTTCAGGACTCAAAGAGTATGTTTTCTGTTTAGATGTGTCATTCTTGTGTATCGTGTTGAGAGGGCATATGTATCTCCATGAATATCTCACTGGCGCTCTCAACACGACACACAAGGATGACACATCTACACAGAAAACAAACACTTTGAGCCCTGAAGATGATCTCAATAAAGATCGAAACGTTGGCACGATAAAGAAAATGTTTTTCTAATCTAGTGTTAATAATAACACGATACTCTTAGCTAATTCCTGGCCAACTCCTCATCAACTCTCGACCTACCTCTGGCCAACTTCTGGCTGACTACTTGTTAACTCCTGGCCAACTCCTACTGCCCATGACGGCCACCCTGAGCGCAACAGCTCTACACTGATGGACTACTCTACTTTGACTCTTTCGTCTTTACACTGGCTTCTTGGCCGCCCCTTGTTCTTTTGGGTTAGTATTTAAGCCAATCAGTCGGGGTGTAGATGGGGAACCCGTCAAGCTTAGGAAACATTGTTAAGATTCCTGGTGACCCGATACCCTGTTTTTTCTTCCCCGATTTGTTGAGCTTTTCTAAGTGAAACTAGGGGTTGAACAAAAAGGCCACTTGTTAGCACAGCAGTAAAGATTGTCTGGGAATGACCCACATTTTCCAAATATAAACACCCAGGTGTTATTATTTCACCAGCTTTGTTTAGCTGTGTCTTGGGTTTTTGTGAAAGACTAAGTCAGCTTCCAGGATTTGAGGGCACTAACGATGGCCCAATCTTACACAATACGCTTTCCTAACAATTAGCCGAAATGTTCTTTCTTCCCCTCTTAATATTTATAATGAATTTTAATCCCTAATAAAATTTGTTTCAGTTTCCTTTTTGTAATTTTCACACTCTTATTTAACCAAAGTAATGATTTAAATTAATTTATATTACTATTTTTCACCACACTTCACATAACAATTATAAATCAATTTAAACATTACTTTGGTTAAATAGGAACAAAACGTCTGGAATAATGATTGTAGTTAAATTTAATTAACTCACTAATACTAGGCACTTTTCATAATTCAGTGCAAAATCAGTTTTCAATTCTGGAGGTAAGGTTCAGGTTAGAGAAAGAAGAAGCCAAGGTCTGTTGTGCAATCTTCATTACATACTTTATAGAGTACTTTGTTAAGAACTCCCGTGTCCTTCAGGCCTGGGGTTTTCTACTCCCAGGAGTAGGAGAAAAGAAAGTGAAAAAAACCAAAACGGCCCCATTTTAGGTTACGTAGGTAGTATTAGGGTTAGTACAATTACCGTAGGGTTAGAGTGGGGTGTACTTGGTTAGATAGGGTTAGGTTAAGTAAGGGAAGGTAGGGTTAGGGATAGTTTAGGTTAGGTATGGTTATGGAAAAAATGGCTATCTATACGTATGTAATATGTATGCAGCGATTCTTTGTACCCATGAACCCAGAATAACCCACCCATTTGCTCACATCTGACAGAGGCGAATTCCAGACTCTCATCCTGGTCACCTTAGAAGGAAAGGTTGAAGGTTAAAAAGAGTCGGCTTCTTTACGACCAATATTGTTTAATCTCAATTATTATCTAGGTCATTAAACTTAATACTTTTTACCAACAGAAGTAGAGGAATCTCAGCCTGCACAACCCTTCACTCTATAACTTACAATGTCATGAGATTGTTATACCGTGAAATTTCCTACTGTCGTCTGCAGGGTGATGAGCCTAATGTAAATGAATTTGATCGTTACTGATCATCTTACACAACTAATGAAAGTGGACAAACTCGCAAAAGAAGCTGTTATTAAAACCCTTTTACTACTGGGTTGACTGGAAAATAATGCCAGTTTATGGTTATAAAACAAAACCAATTAAACAAATGAATTTAAACATTTTTTATTAATTAAAATGCCCTCCATCAGTCTCAATACAACTTGGCAATTTCTCTATACCCTTTGAACAAAATTTTGAGTCTTTATTATTAATAAATTCTGTAAACACATTTTCTAATGACTTTTGATCGGTATTTTTTATGTTGTAAAATGTTGTCTAGGTGTATGAAAAATGGTAGTTGGTAGGTGAGAGGTCTAGAGAATAGGGATGGTGAGGCAGAACCTCATAACCAAGAACCAACATTTTTCGTGTCACATGTGAGACATAGGGCGAGCATTGTTACATAACAGAATCATTCTTTTTCAATTGACCAAACATGGCATCAATAATGCCAATTTATGGTTCATTTGAGAGCAATACATTTCGGCATTGATTGTTTTGCCAGTTATCAAGAAGTTGTAGTAAATCAGCCCAAATGAAGCCCTCCGAAGAATCACCATCACTGTTATTTGATAAGTTGGGGCTTTGGAAAATGTGTGCAGATTCTCCTTTGTCAAGCCACTGTCCAGAACGTGTGCTATTATCATCACCAATTCTGTCGAGAAAAGTTTTTTTTTTTTTTGGCAAAGAAATGTTGCTCGAACTTCATAATGATTTTCTGGTGGCTGTTGGCATGAGACCCCACACTCGAGCTTTTTCACCTTTCCAATTGCCAGTGGATAGCGATGGTCGATTTGTTAACTGAATGATTCTCTGCAAGTTCTCGAACAGTTGTTCTGGGATTTTCTTTGATTGAGGCTATTTAAGGCAGAATTTGTTACATTATTACCAAGAAATCAATGTTGGATATTCTGTTCTCAATTAGTCTTTTAATACTCAGGAGAGGATTCAGTCAGCCAAAGACAGGGGACGTTTTTTAATTGTTACATTATTATTTTTTTTATGAGGGTTCGCAACAGCAGAGGTCATATAAACCCTCAACACCCTCAGGATGCCGGTGTTTTAGAAAAAAAGCCCATTTGTAAGTATGTCGGGTTTGAATGCAGGGCCGCTGGATTCAAACCCGGGACCTTCACCTTACAGTGATGAACGCCATATCAACGCCTAAACCATTGCGGCCACCGACGCCCCCGTTCTATTATTACAAAAAAATAATGGAACCTTTGGATAATCCATTGACTCCAAACATTTTGTTTTCACTGACTGATTTCAAGGTAAGTTATGAATTTCTAAAGCAGTTGGTTTCATGGATACTTCAAGTAATGCAAATAGTCCTTAAATATAGTGATGTTTATATTTGGGCAAAAGTATTTATCACAAAATCAAACATTTTATTAATTTTTAATAACAATTCCTTTTTATTTTATTAGCTAACTTTTCCTTTTTTTACAAACAGGCTGTTGTGGTTAGATGGTTTTTTTAAGTTTTGGTTTAACTTAACAAGACATTAAGAATTTATGTACCAATTGATATTACAACAGTATTCAGTTTTTTGTTTGAGTTTGTTATGTTAAATATTCATTGGTTTTTATAGTGTGGCTATTAGGATTGTGCAGCTAAATATGTAGGTTGTTATGTAAGAATAAAAACTGTTAAAAATTTGTTTTTTCTTAATATTGCATAAATATCCAGGCTTTAAAATGTTCGAGGGATACCTGTTTAAATAGATAAACAATAAATTTAAAAAATGTAATTAATTTAATAAACAAAAATGACCTACCAAATTTACAATATGAATACCAATCTTCTGATTATTTTATTAAGTAATTTGCAATTGAAATTGCAGTTTTTAAGTGTTATATTCAAATCAGAGAACATCTTAATGCCTGAATGACAACTGCAATCTAAAATGAATCTAATAAATAATAAATCACATTAAACCCCTGCAATTATAATTCTTGGATCTTCCACTCCGGCTTTTATTTTCTTTAGAAATAGAACAGCTTCACGGCCGTCTATTAACCTGTGGTCGTATGTTAGAGCTATGTACATCATGGGTCGAATTACAACCTGTAAAAAAATAATTTTTAATGCATGGTCGAAATGGTATTGTTTTCTATAACGTACTTGTCCGTTGATAGCAACCGGCCTATTGAATGTAGCGTGCATGCCTAAAATGGCCGATTGTGGAGGGTTGATGATCGGTGTGCCCATCAATGACCCGAAAACACCTCCATTACTGATTGTAAAAGTGCCTCCATCCATATCCTCGACGGAAATCTTTCCATCTCTGGCTTTGACCCCAAGGGCGTTGATAGCCTTTTCGATTTCTGCGTAATTCATACTTTCAACATTGCGAAGAACTGGGACAACCAAGCCCTACAAAATTTCATGATTACATTTTAAGAACATTTATCACAATAAATACATACTTTTGGAGTTGCAACAGCTACTGAAATATCAATATAGTCCCTGTATATTATTTCATTATCTTCAATTACAGCATTAACGACAGGTTGATCTTGTAATGCATAAGCAGCTGCTTTTACAAAGGCGGACATAAAACCAAGTTTAACACCGTGTTTCTTAGTAAATGCCTCCTGGTGTGTTTTTCTAAATTCCATGATGGCACTAGAAAATTAAAAAAGTAGAGAGATAGCTTCTTACAAATATAAATTTAAAGAAAGTAAATAGTAATAAAGTAACCTCATGTCTAATTCATTGAAGGTGGTTAGCATAGCATTAGTATTTTGAGCCTCTTTGAGCCTTTGTGCTATTCTTTGTCGCATCCTATTCATTTTTACCCTAAATTCTGTTCTGGTTCCACTGATTTCTTTTGTGGGATCTGCAGGAGGAACTTTCACAGCAGCAGTTTCTAACGACTGGGCATGTTTAATGGCTGCCACTGGCATTTCGGATTTGGGCTGTGCTGGTGTTTGTGGTGGTGGAGTCGGAGGCGGCCTTTCAGCAGGTTTTGGTGGAGCCGCTGGTTGGGGTGGAGGAGGAGGCGGCGGTGCAGCAGCTGCAGGTGGTGGTGGAGGAGGTGGCGGTGCAGCAGCTTCAGATGGTTGAGCACTAGCTTTAGGTTTAACAGCTCCAGCCCCTCCTACAATTTAAACTATAATTAGTTTTAATTTTCGTTTCCATACTGCAGTAAACATACCTAATGTCATTTTGAAGAGTTGCTGACCAGCTTTGACAGTAGAACCATCATCAACCAAACGCTCCGTAATTACACCTGCAGCTGGGGCAGGTACACCAATTGATGTCTAAATGATATGAAATACAAAGAAAGTACTGCATGCCCAACTTCCATAATATTTTTATAAGAATGAAGTATAGAATAATTAATTATCATCCAAAATTTAATTGGCTATCTGATACAATGCTGAGAAATGACACTTAAATCTTATATCATGATATTAATTACCTTGTCGGTTTCAATTTCACATACCACCTCGTCTTCCGAAACTGCATCTCCAACATCTGCAAACAAGAAATTTACCTTTACTCCACTCAGTTAATTCTTAAATTATTAACTTTAGCAAAAAATGGTCTTATAACAATCCCCAAGTTAATTTTGGCTAGGAATCAAGTGGTAGTAACAGATTTAATATAACTTTCTCTTCTAGCTGGGAAAAAACGCTAACTTGATTATTTTAAATGAGACTCCCCTATTTTTTTGTACAATTCAATTCTAGAGATTATTTTATGCCATTTTTACTGAAAGGAATATTTTGACAAGATCGACCATTTCTGAGTTATACCCGACGCTTGAGGGGGGTATGGTTTTTGGAACAAGAGGCAGGCCCTCCCTGTTTATTTTGAAAATGATTAACTGTAGCAAAAATGTCTTATGCAAACCCCAAGTTAATTTTGGCTAGGAATGGCATGGCGGTACCAGATTTAACATATATTTCTCATCTAGCTGGGAAATGACACAAAATTGGTTATTTTAAATGAGAATCACATATTTTTATTGCACAATTTGATTCTAGAGCTTATTTTTATGCCACTTTTACTTGAAATGAAAATTTTGATAGGATTGACCATTTCTGTGTTATGCCTGACGAAAGATAGAAAAAAAATTTAAAAATCAAAGTGAAGTTGTAAGGTATGAACTAAAAGATACTAAGAAGTTTCTAACTACAATAAATAGTTAGGGTAGAGGTAGCAGGCAGTGAAGGCAGAGAAAATAGTTTCTAGATAAAAAAAATGTTTAATTTTTTCAATTAATTATAATTTTTATCTAAGATCTTTGTTAATTAAAATAATAATTAATATGGTCAATTTGACTATTAAATACATATAAGGATTTTTAAATTGACTTAAACTGCTGCCAACCACAAACCTGGCAGCAATAGCAAATGATGGAATGGCAAACAGCATCAAAATAATTTTAATTTCACTTTAATTTTAATAACATCACTTGACTTACATGACAACCAAGTTCCGTTAATAGTCAATTTTACAGTGGATGCTTTCAGAGCAAGATCTTTAGTCCAACTAAATTTCAGTGAAAGAAACACTCCTAAAAATTTATATTCATTTACCACCTGCTTGCCCTCAAATGACCAATGCTCTGTAGAACTCAATTTTCCTTCTCTTCTAAACGACGCAATGTTTGATTTATTTAAACTGATGGTCAAATCATATTGTTGGTGTATATTAGTACTTTAATTATACTTTTACAAATTCTAATAGCACATTTTAAGACTGACCGGAGATCATCACTGAAAAGAGTGAATGAAAGAGGGCTTATCAGGCAGCCCTCTGTCTGACCCCATTCTGGTCATCAAAATACTCTGAAACCACTTCCAGTGCCCTCACACAAGATGCAGATACTGAAAACAGTGACCTTAAAACATTAAGAAACTTCATTGAGCAACCCGAATTGCTGAGTTTCAATATCAAACCTCTTCTGTCAACTCTATGTAAGGCGGCCTTGCAATCTTCAAGGCATAAGTTTTTTGCTACGTCTTGCCATCATTTCTAATATTTCATAAAAGTTCCCCTTTCGAAAACCCATTTGATAATCATTCAACAAATTTTTGGAGACAAAGTTCTCAAGATGATTAATTACTAAACAGAAAAACCTTTCACCATCGCAACTAAAATGGAAATACCCCTATAATTTTTCGTACAGTTAGCGTCATCATCCTTAAACAAAAAAAAATATATAATAGATCTGCAGTTACCAGAGTTTTTGATATGCAAATGACTCAAACTGCAAATATATAAACCTAAATCACCTAGACTACTTTGGTGTGCTTATGGGTACTCTATATTCCCCCGAACATACTATAACATTCACGCTAATAAATAAACACTTAAATTAAGGATTTTATTTCAACCTACTTATGAAAGGGCTCGCTACATGTGACCATATGTGTTTATCTGTATCAGGTATTAATAGTTGTTTAAAATCTGTAGTCAGGCCACAACGTAAGCAGGAACACACTTATCCGACGCAATGCAATGTGACATGACCCAAAGCCACCTGACACGAATCCAATGTCCAATTTTCCATAAGATTGTATTATCCCTGTGCACATCTGCCCGATGCAACTAAGTTTCCCACTGACCAGATTTTCATCGAGTACAGTTGAAGACGAAAGGTTCTGGATACTCATAGTTTTTGTAGTTTATTTCAAATCTTATGTATTTTTGTTGTTATATTAATTACAACACGTTTATTTTAATGTAAACCAAATTAAACGAGATCAAAAATTCATGAGTTTTTATAAAAATTATTTAATTATGATGATTTGGCAGAACATTTATCAAAACACCAGAATGCATTTAACTAACAATTTATTACTTGGTTTTGCTCATAATAATGCATTAAGAGCAGAAGAGGTGTTGCGATTGTGATACACACTGTGTGTCTGTGGCGTGCACTTGATGTCAAACAGATGTGCACATCCTACCAAAACAAAACAACGCGTCAGGTCATGTTGCGTTGCGTCAGGTGTGTTCCCTGCTTATTCATAGCAGTGCTCATTCCTCACACTCTATTAATATATACTTTATAGATACTTGTGCACCGCATAAATGGCAACTCTGTGTTTTTCCTTCTGTGAGGAGATGACCAACTGTCAGCCAGGTGTGGCCTATACAGACTTAATTTACAACCTAATACATTTTTCTTTCACTTATACATAGAATATTCATATTAAAACTTACTTTTCTCCCAGCGCAAGTCTCCTTCAGTCACAGACTCAGGAAAAGGGGGCACAACAACTACTTTCTCTTCACCTATTGAATTAAAAATTTGATTGAAACCATGCTAGATATATTCTTTAAAAAAATTAAACTACTTAAAATATCATTATTTGATTTTCACTTTTTTTAAAATGAGATAAGAAGTTTGCACTTACATACAATGGAAGTGAGATGAAACAACCTGTGTAAATTAATATTACTGCTTCCAAGACGACTGAAACACACACGATTCTATGTTTTACCCCAATAGTTAATTATTCCATTAGCATTTTTTTCCCCAACATATAAATAAACATTCCATAAAAAAAGTTTTTTAAACTTACACATTAAGAACTCGTTTACCAGCTCCATGGTTCAACTTGCACCAAGGTTGGTCTAAAAGTAGGATAAATCAATACATTATTCATAATGTAAATATTTAAAAAAGAAGTTAGTATTTCTCACCCTCTTGGTATGCACCAGTTGCAAAACAACATTGCAGTTGTTCATACTAAAAACAGAGATGACAATTGTATAATGCATTGTAAGCCGGCCCCTGTACTAGTATAAGTTAGGAATAGTTGTTAAAATAAGTTAGAAATAGGTATATGGACTTTCAAACATATGTTGGAAATAAGGCCATAAATCTGATGTGTCACATACCCAGTAGGGAGCAAAGATATGCTTGCCATAACCCTGTATGTTGCAGAAACGCAACAGATGAATAGTAAATAACAAAAATTGAGGAGTTATTTAGTGAGGGAAAGTTGTCGCAGAAACAGTTTATCCAATCATCCCAAACAGTTTATCAAGCTGTGGGACACTATAAATTTTAGGTGACATCAGCCAGTTGGGCGCTGTACACACTTCGCCGGAAGTCCATCGACATAGCACCAGGAGGCTACTTAATGAAAACTCCTGAGTGTTTTGAGTTATTACACTGCCAACACTTGCAAGAAGGAAGTTGACAATCTGACCCAACAGTTTTTCCTTTCTTCCTCCCCTCCCCTAATCGGTAAACCGATATAAAAGGGGATGATTTGAAAGGCAAGTCAGTCAGTGGCTCACCCAGTCAAGAGCAGTCAAGCAACCTCACTAAGTTGGGGGCTCAGCCAGCAAGGACCTAATCATTGCGACAAGTTGAATAGAGTAATAGTTGAAGATTCAGGAAGCTGCGGGAAAAAGATTCTAGAAAACGCTGAAGGATATGGAAATTGGTGTTGGCAAGGATTGTTTGGAATCTTCTTGTGAATAAGCTCATCCCCAGAATTAGAGCTGTGACTGATTTGTCTTCGTTGTTTTATTTTGTTTGTATATTATGCAATATTAATACAGGACAGGGTAACAATAAACGTTTACGAATACTATCTCTCTGATTTATTGTTCACACTGACAGGTAAAAAATTCCACCCAATTGATTTTTTTTCCGTTTTCTCGATAAAAAAAATTTACCCTTAATTTCTCTCACTGTATTTACCAATAAATATTTGTTTATGGAGTTTTAAATAGGAAATATTGATATTTCAATTAGTGGTAAACACAATCCTTAATCCAAAACAACGATAAAGGAAGTATGTGCTATTGCCATCGGAGTTCCCTATGAAACTCTGCGAGAAGCCATTACACGTTTTCGAGAAACTGGGTCCTACTATAGAAGGCCCGGTTCTGGATGCCCTAGGTAACAGAACCACAGGATGACCGTTTTTTGACTTTGAGAATTTTGCAAAAGTGGCATCTTACTTTTGTTCAAGCAATTCACCAGCTCCAGGAAGTTCAAGGTGTCCAATTTTCTGAATGCACTGCTAGAAAATTAAATCAGTATGGACTGGCTTTTCACCACGTAAGAGGACCAGAACACACACAGAGTTGCATGGGTCCCATTTGCTCGATACACAGCCATTGGTCTTTGGACGATTGGTCTGCTGTACTTTTTACAGATGAGTGTAGATTTGCTCTACAATCTCCAGATGGGCATGAAAGAATGTGGAGAAGGCAAAATGAAAAATATGAAGCCTGTAATTTTTCCCTGACGATCTGTTGTCAAGTTGTCTTTTGAATAGTTATATCATCTTTTCGAAGTCCAATTTGGTGGTTCCAGGTTTTTTATCTTGTAAAGTCCCAAATAGCAGACAACATGGGTTGCATGGGAGAGGATCAGAATTTTGTGGTAGATGGCTCTTTCAAACCGAAAAAATGGTCCTAGAGGTTTCTGAAGGCTGCTGGGTCAAAGTTTGCTGAAAAGGTGGCATTATCGTCTGCATATGTGGGGAATACTGCTTCTTGATAGTTCGCAGTGTATAATGAATAGAGTTTGGGACAAAGGAACTGCCTTGCAGAACACCTGCTTTGACATAATAGATAGGTAGAATGTTCCAATTCATACCTATTGGAGAGGATTTAAAGGGGTAATAAGTGAACTGAAGGATGCCATTTAGTTTTCAGAGCAAACCAGAGTGTATAGCCATTATATAAGCTATCATATATAGGTAGAATACTGGCTATAAAAGTTCAAGTGAATGAAAATGAAAGGATTGAATTGCATTTAAATATGTATAAAAATGTCCACAACCTCATCAAAATAACAAAGCATATCTATCTACGACTCATGCCACATTTTCAAGGCTGCATGTATATCGGCCATAACAAGTAGGGCACAAATTGCAAGTATGGAAGCTAATGAATCATGTTGATGTTACCCATCCTTTTAAAAATATGGAAAAAAAAATACTTGTAATGAATTGGTTATATGATTATCACGCCAAGCATTACTAGAAACTCAATAGACAATAACCAATAGTGTCAATGAGAAACATCAGTAAAGAATATTTATTTGTTGTATGTAGAAAAAAATTGTGCTGTGAAAACCGACGAGGAGGCTGCCCCCAGCAATTGGCTTAAAATAAAATTGTGACTTACTTTTGGGCTAAACCTGAGGCATTTAAATAAAGGATGTGTCATGCAGAGGGTATGCCTTGATTTCAAATAAAGAATGAGTGTAAATATGTTTTGTTGAAGCTTTAGTTTAGAGTAGAAATGACCTAGATGTCAATAAAAGAAGAGATAAGGCTGAGGTCTGTCTAACCCTGGACTGCCAACCATCGCAAGTTTATTCTCATGTTTTATCGTAGAAGGTCTTATTCTAAAATATGTATTACTCTTACATATTTACATTTTAAATTTGTACATAAGGCATTTTTTATGTTAGGTTCAAATTAAAACTGTTTCCACCATGTTAGAAGAAATTTTCATTCAATTACATTTTTTGTTTTAAATTATAAATGTGTTATTTTAAAAAAGAATGTCTGCACACAATCCATCACATTTAAGAAAAAAATTATCACATGATAAATCTGAAAAGCCACCACTTGTTACCTTATCAAAGTAAAACACCAGTTATCTTTCAGCCCAGGTTTTTAGCAAGGAAGCACAATCAAGATTACATATTAACAATTTTAATAATTCCTTCCCTATTTATCTATTTTTCAACGTGTCTTTTTAATCAAAACACAGAACTACTACTTGAAAATAAAACTAAAAACCATTTACTTCACGTAGATGAATATGCCTAAAAGGATGGGGCCTCTTTAGGCATATAATAAATTGTTAATTTATAAATCCCGTAATATACTTACTTTGCAAAGCAAATAGTTTTTTCTAGATGATCTTAACTAATCATACTATTGAGCTGTAGCTTATTTCAGATTTTAAAAAATAAAAAACAAGAAAAAGGAATTGAGCAATTTGACGAATTATGATGTAACCCTAATTACCTATCAATTCATAAGTGAATTATGAATACAGCATATATTCATCTGAGCTCTTGATTTACTGCATATTTTCTCTTTTTATATAGTTTCAATACAAGATGATCCAGTGGAAATGCTGCAATTTTTTTAATTGGCAAAGATTCCCGAAATTCTCAATATTAAGGCAGGTGTGACTTGACTATAAGAACATCTTGGATTAATCATCACCAGCACAAGGGGAAAACATCAACTGACTTAAGGCTACTTTTTCGAGATTCGCCGTCTTTTTTCAGGCGTATTTCAACAGAAGGGGGTTCCAGTGTCTTTCCAAAGCACAATAAAATTATTAGAATCCAATAAATGTACAATTAAATTAAAGCTACTAAATAACTATCATTATGGCATGGAAAATTCCTTCTGCTGAAGGTGAATGAAAACATAAAAGAGGGCAACAACTAATGGGCAGAATAATACAAAATGTGAATTGAGACAAAAAAAGACTTCCCAAGAAGTTAAATAAAGAAAAAGAAAAAAAGAAAAACCTATAAACTAAAAACGAGAATAAATAAAATAAGAACAATAATAAACAAACCAAATTGAAATTAAATTATGCTAACATTAAATATTCATTTAATTGACATAAAAATATCTGTATTGCCATGCGTAGTACAATCTGTTGACATATCAAAGTAAAATACTCAACTAAATAGCCTCGACGTTCATCACTGTAAGGTAAAGGTCCCAGGTTCGAATCCAGCGACACTGCATTCGAACCCGACATACTTACAAATGGGCTTTTTATCAAAAACACCAACACCCTGAGGGTACATCACCTCTGTTGTTGCGAACCCTTTTAAAGTGTGTTTCATAAAGATGTAAAATTATCCATATTATGCAATAATGGGTGTCCCGCAAGGCAAAATCTTCAGTCCCATTCTCTAGCCATTATATATACTGCATTCCTAACAATCCCTGTACAGGACTCCTCGCATATGCCTAGAAAGGCAGTCGCAATCTCTTCTGGTTGAAATAATGGTCCAAATGTTGCTGTATCACCTCCAGTATACAACTCTTTTCCTCATCCACCAACCAATGTCATCTCCTATGGGATGTTAGATTGACAAAAGACTTGGAACACTCAGACTATTGACTAAGTGAACTACTGAAAAAACAACAGATTATTAAGCCATCAGAAACTTCCACTATAATAACACCCCATTTACACAATACTACCTGTCCAATAGGCCCTTTCAAGTACAAATCAGAACATCCTTCTCCCCCATAGACTACTACTACATGATCCTAGAAGCACTCTTTACAACTGACTACGAATGAGAAGAAGAATCAAGAGGACATCAGATGCAATGTTATGGTATAATTATTCAGAACTCGTGAGATGCGGTCTGGTGTGATGTCGGTTTCAGAAAAACATTTTCTTTATCGTGCCAACGTTTCGATCTTTATTGAGATCATCTTCAGGGCTCAAAGTGTTTGTTTTCTGAGTAAGTGTGTACTTTGAACCCTGAAGATGATCTCAATAAAAATCGAAACGTTGGCACGATAAAGAAAATGTTTTTCTGAAACCTACATCACACCAGACCGCATCTCACGATTTCTGAATAATTATGGACTAACAATCACTAATCACCACACGTTATGGTATATAGATGGCTCCAAAACAGATGAAGGAACCGGACCAGGCGTATTTGTACAAGCCCAAAACATGAGCAATTAAACTCATAGGAAACACCTCATTTTTTCAAGCTGAAATACATGCCATCAACGCTTGTGCCTTGGAAAATCAAAAAAGAGGTTACTGACAAAAAATCCTTTTAAGGCTAGTACACGCTTGTAGACAAAATCGTGCTACTGTCTATAGACAAATGGCCAATTTTATCTGTAGACTGTGGCGGAACAAATCCAAGATGATCTAAGACCTTTGTCATGTGTCCACACCTGCACAGCTCAATTAAACTAATTTCCACCATAATATGATAAGTGAGATAGCGGCCTGCAGCTTGTGCCTTTTTAATTTTACACCAAAAAAGGAAAATTAATCATAAACATTGGTGGAAAAGGAACGTTTTAGCAGACAGTCCTGTGCATTTGGATTGATCCTTCTGGAAAAGTTAAAATGAGAAGATAGGTCAGGTTTCAAAACTTTCATCCAGCTAGTCACCACGGATTTTGGCACCCATAGCAAAGGATGGAATGGCACAGTGTATTAAAGACTGCAAATTTTGATTTGAAACGAGCCGACATCCTAGTTGACAGGGACCTGAGATCCTCTTAAGGGCTAATCTTGCTGTAGACGCCTTTTGCTTGAAATGTCTTGACATTGCAAGTCAGGGGAGCGAGTAGTAGTACCTTGGAAGGGTTGAGTCGATTGAACTTAGCTAATTATAAAAGTATAGTAAGACGGAAGGCTTGGAAAACAAAAACCACAAATTACTTGTATCGATCATATGTATAGCTTAAACCTCCTTGGTTTTTTAACACTGAAACTTATTCACATCTTGTGGGAACAAGTCAGTCGTGTCGATTGACTATTCATGCTGGTCCAAAAACTAAATAAATAAGAACTTCTGACCTTATAACTTTTTCGATTCGTCCGGTTGTTACATTATAACATAAAAAAATTCTTTCTTTTTTAGATTTTCTTGTTTTCTTTGGTTAAAAATTCAAGTTATATCTTTATCTGATAATCGTAGAGCGTCCAGTACTCAATTTGATCATTTATTTACAAGTCTTAAATTCATAAAAGACAGATCAAACTTAAGTTTTTGATTTGTGAATAAAATCGTTTTGAAGTTTCTCGGGATAAGTGATTAAAACATTTGCACACCTGACCTAATTTCCGATCCAAAAGAACGAACTAAAAAATCTAACAAAAGAACTAATCCTGTAATGACTTTTTCCTTTATGTTTAAATAATAATAAGCTTTAAAAGGCAATGTGTGGAAATTCTTGCTATCACATTATGAGATATGTAGGTTAAAAATTTTTTGGGAGTGGGCCAACTGCCAGGAGTAAAAAAGAAGTAAAAATACACATTCTTTAATTTGTTAGACTGTTAGGCTTTAATATGTTAGATTTGACAAGTTAACTAGAAAGAAAAGAAAAAGAAGAAAAAAAGGAGCAAACGCCCAGGAAAAAAAAAAGCAGAGGGGGAAAAAGCCGACTTTACCTTAACTGATCGATTTTGTCGTTTGAAGAGAATCGAGCGGTTTTTCGAAAATATCCTCCCGGACAGTTTAATCATCCCGGCCATTCTAAATTCGAGGGACCGTTATGTCTTGAAACCTTGGATCCGCTATACTTTGCTCGCCAACATAAGAAACCTCCGGACTGATAGCCGACCGAGAACCCCCAGGACCTGTAGCCGCAGAAAGGAAGTGCGATACTACGAACCATCAGCAGTAACAGCTGATCGCCCTCCTTTCTGCCGTCCTATTTAAAAATATAAGAAGAAAACTCTTTTCCGCTTTTATATCAAACCTTTTTTTTATTTATTGTCTTTTTTCCTCGAATATATTGATAAATAAATACAAGCCGATTTTCCCGTTAATGATAATGTGAGCTCATACACGTCCGTAATCTGATATGAAACCTCTCCGTTACCTTCATTTATCATTTGTGTTGAAAATAAATGGCAAAGCTATACAGGAATTATTTGGCTCTGCTTGATAAGTGGCCGATCGACACTACTAAACAGTCTCGGTAAGTTTCCAAAATAAAAAGTACAAAAAATCTATTAATATGTATGGAATAAATTTGAAAAGAACCACCATTCCATGGTTATGTAGTTCTACCTATTTTAGTTTGTCAGACCATAAGCTTCTTGCCATCTTCAGTGCTGCCGTCTTCAACAAACCGTTTTCCAATAAAATATTCATTACCATCTGTATATTAATACAGTTTGTAATTTTATATTAACAATACACTATGTCATGAGGGGAGTTAGGAATCATAGTTGTTCTCCCAAATTTAGTTAAAGCCTTGGCGAGGATGTCCGGAGGCCATCTCTGCTTTAGTCGTCGGATTATAGGGATGGATTATGTTGAACATGTACTGGGCTAGTGGGTTCGGGTGAGTGGAGGGTTTATCATGGAACTTAGAAAATCTGGTGGGGATTAATTTATTTATGAAAAAAAGATTATATATATAATTTGTAAAGGCATAGAACCACAGCTGCCATAAAACATTTACTTATGCAGTCTCCTCACCATGCGCTATAATGAGCGTGATATATTAAAAAACATGACTAAACATCATCAGGTGCTCATGGCACTCAATACTACTCTAGTTAATAACAAGCTATGCACTATTGTAATGACACTTTGTTTTTAGATATGGGGAGATTATTAATTTTACAATGTTTATAAGTTATAGTTAAATAGCTTATTTTATAAAAAATTTAGCAAGAGCAATTGACAATACAAAGTAATATGAGATTTATTCCTGTGGTCTGCGGGGTGATGACTTACAATTTCATCCTTACTGATCATCTTGGTCTGCCTATCCTCACTGCGTTGAGAGGGACAGACTGAAACTTTCACATGAAAAAAAGCATATTTCATCCTGAGAACTTTAAAAACAAAGGTCATTCAACATATTCATGTCCTTCCAAGGAGATCCCGTTGCTAATTCAAGCAGAAGAGGTCCTATCTCATCCTGTTCTCGTTCTTCACCAAAAGAGATCCTGTTGAAGGGCTTACATTCTTTTGTTCACTATGAGAAAAAGACTGAGTTTCTGCCTCAGCAGTTCCTCACTGTATATGGCTTGAAGTCGAAATGTTTTAGACCTAAAACTGTCCATAATAAACAACCTAATAGAAATAGACGTATATAGAAAACCCACAACTACGGATACTATGATACCAGCGGATTCTTCCCACCCATGGTCCCAAAAGGCTGCTGGTTTCATTTGGCTCATAGACCGGATGTTAAAACTTCCGCTAACACCTGATGACTATAAAAAAGAATTAAAAACTATTAAAACCTTAGCAAAAAACAACGGGTATCAAGAAATATTTATTGATAGGTTGCTAGTTAAAAGAATAAAAAAATTAACTTTAAACGAATCAACAATAGGACTCAGCCACCCCACCACAAATGAATCATTAGGTTTCCGTTGTTTGCCATACATTGGTGAATTATCGGAAAAAGTTAGTAAAATTTTTAAACAAGAAGGTTTTAGAATAGCTTTTAGAAGTACGGGTTCACTTAAAAACATCCTCTCAAAACCTAAAGACAAAGTAGACAACTTGGCAAAAAGCGGGGTTTACCAACTCAATTGTAATGATTGTGATATTAAATATATAGGACAAAGCGGTAGAGAAATAAAAACAAGAGTAAAAGAACACTTGCCTAAATCGAGCAAATTTTCGGAATTTAAGGACCATCTAAAAGAAACAAAACATAATTTCAATTCAAATCTAAATACAAGAGTGTTACATAGTTTCAACAAAGGGAAAGAATTAGATTGGTTTGAGAAATTTGAAATTAAAAAATGTAAAATTGAACATGGTGATAAATGCATTAATAATATAACAGATTTTGATCTACCTCCCATTTTAAATATGTACATAAATAATATCAAACATCCAAATAATTAAACTAATTATTTTAATTGTTATTATTTTTATAGTAATTTAATAATATTAAGTATTTACTAGTATAATATTTATTTGTGTTATAATTTCCGCGTTTCGCACGTTCAAATTGAGCGCCATTAAAAAAATCAGCTGCTAATTGGAACGTCGCGTTGGCGGAGGTATCAGCGGGTTCACTTTGGCAATTCATGTCGAGAGACGTGGTTGTAGAAGTCCTTCAACCTGATGATGAGCTAAAAGGCTCGAAATCCGGATCGTTGCAAAACAACTTACTGTGAGTAGGAACTATCTTTTTAAAAAGGATTGAACACCACACTCACTCCATCATTTATCATTTCTATGTGTTTACAGTTGATAAGAATCACCAAGCCTAGAAAAATGATCTTTTAAAATCCTAGTGTTGCATCCATTACAGAGTTGGGTGTTCATAGTCCCCATTTTGTTGAAATACTTTTTAAAAAAGTCCATTTTAAGTCTCTTGTAAAGTTGTGGTCAGCTATGCTAGGATTGAAAGTGCAAGCATGATGAAATATAGCTAATTGGCCATTGCAAATCTCTACCTTATGATTTTCATTTTAACCTCTTTTTTCATGAATCTTGTCCTGTTGAGAAGGCGATCGCTTCTCAGCCTTTTGGCTAAGATCAAAGTGTAGTTTTATTATCCATAATAATACCCAGATATTTAGTAACCTTAGAGTTAATAGATTTTTTTTTAAAGTATTGTGAAAATTGCTTTTTGAAACTTTGAACATCTTGTTCACATTTTTTTATGTTATTTTATTTATTTATTTATTTTTTAGAGATCTTGGGCAATTTATTCGAGACCGATTAAAAGAAAGTTTCAAGGCTGGTGACCTACTAAAAAAAGAAGACGAGGAAAAATGTACAACTACATATAAATGCCTAAACCGGATTGCTGATAATTATTACTGCCGACTTTATGAGAGGAGTTACATCTCATCAGCTACAGGCTTGACTGAGGAACAGTGCAAAATTATTATTTCAGATGACTTTTTGGAACTTTTAAATTCTAAAGAACGAAGTTTTATTTCTAAAGTGTTTAACCGCAAATCATAATGATATTTAGGAATATGGTGAAATTGTTTCATCGTGTAGATAATACTTTAATGAAAACCATTTCTCAAAGTTTGCATACTCCTGTTTTAAAGGATGAAGTTAATTATTATTTAAATCCTGGTAGCAACAAAATTATATTAGATATGACTTTTGGTGCAGGAGGTCATAGTAGAAATTTATTACATTCTTCAGAAGATTTGAAACTAATTTGCCTTGACAGAGACCCAGAATCATATAAGTACGCTACCGAGTTATCAGAATTGTACCCAAACAGGGTAATCCCATGCATTGGTAGATTTAGTGAAGTCCCTGACATTTTAGAAAAATTAGGTATTCGTTTTAATTCGATTGATGGGATACTATTTGATTTTGGATGTTCTTCTATGCAGATGGATTCGGACGTAAGAGGGTTTTCTATAAGTCGTGATGCCAAATTGGACATGAGGATGGATGGAGAGAGGTTTCCAGATAACCCTACTGCTGCAGAAGTTATAAAGTATGCTGATGAGGAAGATTTAGTCAAGATTTTTAAGATATATGGTGAAGAAAAGTTAGCGAAAAAGATTGCCAGAGGAATTATTGAGGCGAGGTATATGTTTACTCCTGTTTCAACTACGTTTGAATTAGCATCCCTTGTTGCGAATATTTGTGACAATAAATATAAAAAAGATAAATTACAAAGACCGACACATGTCTCTACAAAAATATTCCAGGCTTTAAGAATTTTCGTTAACAACGAACTCAACGAAATCAATTATGGCCTTGCTGTAGCGCACAAATTTTTAAAAATTGGAGGAAGGCTTGTGACCATTTCGTTTCATTCTTTAGAAGATAAAATTGTAAAACAGCACATGATTGGTCCAGAAACGTCAAATAACTTATTGAGACACAAAAGCCACATTTCAGTATCTAGTGAAGAGGAAATGTCTAAAATTACAAATAATAAATGGGTTATGCTCAATAAGCATGTAGTCACACCGACTGAGACAGAAGTTCAGACAAATCCAAGGAGTAGATCAGCTAAACTTAGAGCTGCTGTGAAAATAAATTAAATTTAATAGTGAATAACTAATTTTCTTAGATCTCTAGTGGATGAACCTTTAAAAGAAAAATAGAAGGGCGTTTTAAATGTTTAAAGATTCAGATAAAATTATGTTCATAAAAAATCTTTAATTAGCACCTGTTATGGAAAATTTAATTTTGTAAATAACAAAGTTTGTGTTAAATTTACAGAAGTTATTTTAAACAATTTCCTGTGTATTTTATATTGTGTTGATTCCTTGAAAAACAGTTTTTTTTTACCTATCCTTGCACTCAATTTTGCCTCATAATAGCTAGATGTAAAAATTACCATGGCTTTTTCTTTAGGAAGATGCCTATTTATCAACATTGACAAGAAAAAGTGCCAATAATTTAAAATTATCTTGATAGTTTCTGGTGGGTGGTATGTTGGGGCAAGATTTACTCAAGAAAATGATAGATTTGTGTGGCCTTTAACAGTGTTAAAGAATTAGGCTTATTTGTTGGAGGGCCTGGTTTGCAGAGAGCACAGTCGATAGATGGCCCTCGGATCTAAATCACAGAAGATAGATCATCCACACCCAGTAAAGGCCATATCACACTTACTTTGAAGCCTTGTAAAAAAAAATTTGCTCGATCTCACTTAATTGAAGGATGCCATTCCTTGGCTCCATATTAGTAACTATGTCGATATTAGAATTGTGCTTGAGCATGGCTGCAAGCATTTGAATCCCTTCTTCCAATTTTTGGAGAAACAGGGCTGTTTTATTGTATATAGTACTTGGTGGATATCTTGTTTTGTATATAGTAAAAGTGAATGTACTTATCAGAGTGAATTTGTTGTATGAGATGGCTGATGGTGGAAAATTGACCAAATCGACCATGAATGAAATTAGTTATATAATATGTGTAAAAGGTGGTGTAGTCTTTGATATTCCTCCATCACCCTACTTTGAGCAAATGAAAAATAGCAAAGAACATATTTAAGAACTATTGTACGTGTATGTATGTTTAAAAACTGTGTTAGAAGCTGAAATGTTTTTGCCATTGTCAACCCCTGGAGTCTAACTTTGGTGAACTGAACGCTATAGATTCCAGTGTCATATGAAACAACTGAAAGAAGTCTGTGCTGATATTGCCATAAAAAGGAAGAAACTTATAGACAGGAGTCCTTAACAAAGATTTGGGATCTGGTTATAAATTTAACATGTTTAGTGTGGCCTGGTTTTTCCATTTTCCCCCTTGCACAGAAATTTTCTATTTATCGGGGTAAATATCGATGCCAGTGTTGATATCCTTGGTGTTAATGCTGAAATTTTCCTCTGGGTGTGACTAATTTCGTATTTCTAATGGACTCTCTATTGCATACTCTGGAAGAAGCCCCTTTCACTGTCAAATTTTCATGGTAGGTACAATTATTTTACTTCTTTTATTTTGAGTTCAATAGGGATTATCCCGGCCAAGATGGTACACTAGACTCTGATCATCCTCAAGACCATCTGGTGCTGTACGCTTCTTAATTTTCCTCAAATTTGACAAGATAATATGGTATTAAAAGTCATCCCATGTTTTTTTTACCTGGTTAGAGAAGGGTATTAAAGAGCCTCCAAGAGGTGCTAATGCAAGGAAAATCTTCAGTTGACAGATATGTGTTGTAAATAATTATCAATTGGGATTTGAGTGGGTTAAGTTTGAGACCACTGTTTAAATCCCAACTAACCCAGCTAGAAAGGTTTCTTAATGAGTTGAATGGAATGGAGGATTAAATAAGGGGGACATTGTGTATAGATTTGGGTATCATCAACATATAAGTGAAATTTGGTGTAATTTAAACAAGAAGGGAGGTTGTTAATAAAAATTGAAAACAATAAGGGTCTTAAAATTGTGCCTTGAGGAACATAAAACTAAAGAGGAAGGTCAGATAAGAGTTTATTATTAAGTAGTTTGACAACTTGTTTATGACCTGACAAATAAGTGGATATTAATTTCGAACTATAGGATGAAAATCGAACAAATTTTCTGGTTAAAAATAAGTTATGCTTGACCATCCCGAAAGAATTGGAAAAGTCACTAACAGAGTGCATTTGTGAATATCTATGCCCCCTCGTATATCTTCATTAATTTTGAGTAAGGCCTATTCAAAGCTATGTTGATGTCGAAAACGAAACAATTGAAAAGGTGAAAGAAGTGAATATCAAGAAAGTTATTAATATATTTAGACATAATGATACATACATATACATGATATACACATCTAATAAGTAAAATTGTAAAATGATTTATTACTTTAAATTTAAAAAAGTGAAGAAATTTAATGGTTCAAGGTCGTGAATCAACAGGTAATCATAGTTGAAATGAAAACAATTAAGGATGGGGGTTAATTAAAAGCTTCTGCATTTCTGGATAAATATTGTGTAACTAAATGAGAAAATAAAGATGTTCAGAGAGAAGGAATAAATAAAATAAAATTTTCAGGTATCTTTTGTAATAGTATCCACACTATTAACTATTCATCACTCGGGCAAGGCACTAAGTAATTACACGTATTTATTTAACCTCTTTATTCCGTTACTCTTCAGGGCACTGATTTTGCCCATGTTTGAATCCACATTTTGAACAATTGCCCTGTTTACTATTTCATTTGCATACTGTTTTCTGTTATCTGTTCTCACATAAAATTTTTGACGCAATTCTTCTATCTCATAATTTGGTTCTGGCTGTGCTATATTCCATAAATTCGCTCTTTGCTCCAAAAATGCAAATAGCTCAGTGATCTTATTTATTTCTGTAATACTGTGATAATGATTATCCAATATATCCCTGGTTTTAGTATCCAATTTCGTCTGGAATATATAAATCAATATAGGGTCCCACTCTTTTGTAGGAACATTGCATGCTTCCAATTACTGAAGAGATGAACGAGTTGTGTTACCAACTTTCTTAAAGCGTTTTAATCATTGAGTATGCAAGTCCCTAATTCCACAATTTTTTTTGTATGTTCAAAAATAACAAAACGGTTGTTCTGATAGTGATCTTCCAATGATTTATAAGCTATATTGTAGTTTGCAGATTTTAATTCTACATTTTCTACTAATTGTGCGGCCTTCCCACCCACTGATGCACGAAGTAAATACAATTTTTGAATGGGTTGCAAACATGGGTTCTTATGTACAAATTGCTGTAAACAATTGAAAAAACTTTTTGAACTCCCCTTTAAGCCGGGAACACACTCGATGCAACGCTACCCGACGCCTTGCCACGTTTTGGTAGGGTGTGCACATCTATGCAACGTCAAGTCACACAGTGTGTATCACAAATCAGTATCGCAATTGCAATGCCTCTTTTGTTCTTAATGCATTATTTTGAGCAAAACCATGTAATAAATTGTTAGTTAAATTTTATGAGCACAACAATGTAATAAATTGTTAGTTAAATTTTATGAGCACAACAATGTAATAAATTGTTAGTTAAATTTTATGAGCACAACAATGAATAAATTGTTAGTTAAATTTAATTGTTTTAATTAAAAGTGTGTGGTGTTTAGTTTTAAATAAAGTTATTCCGGTGTTTTGATAAATTTTCTGCCTAATCATCTTAATTAAATAATTCTTACAAAAGCTCATGAATTTTTGATCTCGTTTAATTTGGTTTATATTAAATAAGAATGTTGTAATTAATATAACAACAAAATTACATATACATAGTTTGAAATAAATAAAGTACAAAAAATATGGGTGTCCTGTTCTGACGCTACTCGACGAAAATGGTGTAATTTTATGAGCAAAACCATGAAATAAATTGTTAATTAAATTTTATGAGCAAAACCGTGTAATAAATTGTTTGTCAAATTCATTATATCAAAAACTGGTATTCCGGTGTTTTGATCAATGTTCTACCAAACCATTAAAATTAATTTTTTTTAAAATAAAAACTAACGACTTTTTGATTTCGGTTAATTTGGTTTATATTAAAATAAGTTTGTTGTAATTAATATAACGACAATAATACATGTAGTTTGAATAAAAATACGTGGGTCCGGTTCTTTGTTTTAATCAATTTTCCACCAAACCATTAAAGATAGCTGAAATAAAAATCGAGAGGAAAGTGTTATTAATTTGGAAAAAATAGTATTTAGATATAAATTGGAGAACAATTAATGATGACGACGGGTATTTGATAATTCTAGGGGTAAGGCCTTGGAGCGGATCGTTCACTAGAACGATTCACCCGTTCGTTCCTGCCTGTTCCTACTTATGAGTTATGCGGGCCGTAGTTTACACTACTGTTATGTTGTTTGTATTTAAACAATTTCTGTCCTTCAACACTTTTTTCAGAAAGAGTTCTCTTTTTTTTTATTCACGACTTTGAACAATGATGAAACACTGCTAATAACCAAGACCTTTTCTCCCTCTCACAGAATTTTTATTCTGTATTTCTGTCTAGTCAAAACGAAAAAATGGTGAATTTTCTGCCTCTTGCCAATAAGGTATTTGATTATTTACTTTAACTTTAACAAGATCCGTTTTTTGGTGAAGTTTTTTACTTTTGTTTTGCTTTGCTTCATGCCTTCCCTTTTATCTTTTGAGTATTAAGACGCTTAGCTTTTAGAAAGATTAAATCGCTTACACTGTAGTCATTGCAGCCTTTACAAGGTTTTAACCTTAGTTTTCTCATTTGTTTTTTGTTTTAAATAAAAGATTTGACATGTAATTTCACTTTTTCGTTTTGCCTTGACAATAAGTTTTATTCTTTTATAGAAAGCACATTTTTCTAACAGTTGGCAGAAACATGTTCAACCATTACACAAAATTAAAAATATAGATTCAACATTTCAAATTATATCCACCTTGACTTCTCCAGGGTGTCTCACCAGACCTTTAATTTAGACAATGAGTACTCTGGGACAAGTAGTCCCACAAGGGAGCATTCTTTGTCCCATCCTATATACACTGATGGACAAATTTAACGCACCATTCAAATTATTTAGTTTAAAATTTAATCCATTAACTTTCTACATTACTTACAGGTAATTAGGAGCTATCGTAAACAAATGTAAATGATGCTTTGTTTACTTCCAATTTACTTTTGTACTGATTAATCCCATTTGCCCAAAAAGTCCGATTATGACCTTCCATTCTGCTACGTCTAAAGATT